CAGAAACGGAAGGAATTGAATGGCAAGTGAGAACAAAGTATAGAGAAGAGTAGGTGCCGGGAAAACGAGTGAAGAAATTATTGATTCATTACCCAAAATGCGTGAGAATACGCAAACTGTTCATTTAAAATGTGAGGCTTTATTTCTCGAGACGGCCGTGGCGCGCGATACGGCTGAAACAATAATTGAAGATATTTGGCTCCTATCCTATTCCCCCATTATCGTGGAGCAACCATATTCATTTAACAGCTCGATAATCTTTTTCTTTTTCCCTTTTTCTTTTTTTTTCTTTTTTTTTCTTTTTTCTTTTTTACAAACAGTGAATTAAAATGAAAAAAATCCCATTTATATAATCTGTCCAATTTCGGTTCTGTGGTGATTTTGCTGTCGTGTCGGAGATTTAGTGAAATTATGGCCTTGGCTTTTGTCGTGTCTGTACTGCACATGAACTGGGATCTTCGAGGACTCTGTTTTGGGCTCTCTTCAAGTTTTCGGATCTTGTAGCCATGCCCAGGCCCAACTTCAACTTCTCTCACCTTAATACGTATCTAATTTACTATTGATATAACAATTATATCTACTGATATCTAACATTGATACATCTGTGATCTATTGATATCTACGGATGTATATCAGATATCAGTTACAAATATATTTAATATGACATTGATATACATTAAAGATACTTTGGATATATATCAAATAAGATATACATAGGTATATCATTATAAATATATTTAGTATATCATAAATTAGAGATACATCAAATGTATATTAAATGTATGATATGTACATTTGATATATATCAGAGATACATTAGATGTACATCAGACGTAGATTGGAAGTATATCAGACATATATCGGAAGTATATCAAATATACATCAATCGGACGTATATCAAATATACATCAGATGTATATCAGGGTAAAACTGAAATAATAAAAATTTCGAGAATAAAAATTCAAATATTTTGCCATATTTGCAAAATACAAAAGTGATTGACATTTTTGTAAATATGTATAAAAGTTTAGCTACCCAATACAATTTCACTAAATTATATTCATATATATTTTTTTAAGTTCTTCATGCTATTTTAAATATTTATAAAAATAGTAAAGCAATATCTTATTGAAGGAATTTTAACTGTTTTCATTTTATAAAGATTTAAAAAACCATCTCATTATACAACTATTTTTCCTATTTATATATATATACAAAATTATTGTACTTACATCTACCAACAGGGTAAAGTTGAAAAGAAAAGAAAAAGAGTAATCATTATTGTAGATCTTAGGTTAGACCAACGTAAATAAGAATAAGATATAGCCCCCTATAAAACCAAAACAAGATGGTTCACGAGATGATCAGTCAAATTAAAACAAACAAGATTAATAATTGAAGATGGAATTTAAAAAATATTTTTTTAAAAAAAGAGCTGTTTATGCGAAATTCACTTCCATGGCTACTCTCCCCGAGGCCGCTACCTAATTTTGACAAATAAAACCTCTCGACCACTCCCCGAATCAAATAAACCAAAAACAAATGAGCAACTTCTTCACTTCTCTCATCTTCTTCTTCCTCCTCGCGAATCCTCCTGCAACTGGAAGCTTCGGAGTCGACGTCAATGGCGGAAT